GGCTACTCTGGGAACACGGTTCGTTTTTTCCTGATCTCTCCAGTTCTCCGAGCACGGAGGGAGACGTGCAGCCTCCCTGAGCCTGTGCCAGCGGGCATGCCGGCCACCAGGTGGCAGCGTAGCCCCATAGACTAACCCACCAGCCCTTCCCCCCCTCTGGAGGTAAAGACAAAGTAAACCTTTCATTTGTAAAATTCCACTTGGCATGTTTCCCCCTGGCCTTTGAAGGGAAATTATTTCTAAAGGTATTTATAGCTAGTTTCTAGAGGATGGTTTTCTAGGAGTCCACAAATGGCCCAGACTTCCAGTAACTCTTCATTTATCCCTGCTCTTGTCATTTCTTCTGGGCCCACCATAAGAATGAGCCTGACTATGCTTCCTTCCAAAGAACATTTTGTCGTCTTCAGCAGACATGCTTGGAGGAAGGTCACGGAAGATTTTAGAGCTTTTCTGAGCCTCCGAAGGTAGGTGGTGGATTGTTCAGGGGCATAATGATGAGGATTCTTCCAGCTACGTGGCAGATTGATTTTTATGTCCATGAGATGAAAAGAGATGAGAAACTTAATCTTGGCAGGAGTCAGAAGAGCTCTTGCCAAGTTGTTAAAGCCCAAGAAAGGCCACGTGGGACTCAGTCCCTGCTGAGTATTCGTAATAAATACAGCTTTGCATTTCTATAGCCCTTTTTATTCTTGGCTCATAAAAAGATCTCTAGATTATGGCACAGAAGATAGGTTTTATTCTCATCTTATAGGTCATAAAAGGAGGCATGGGAAAAGTAGGTTTCCTCACAGCTTCTGACGCCTAGACTTGGACCCGAAACTTCAGACCTTTCTGCAGGCATACAGCCAGCAGCAGCCATTGGGGTACCCCCGCCCCCACTCTCCCACAGGAGTATGCTCTTCTAAGGAGAAAAGGTGGGTGGAAAAGGAGCTGGCTTTCTGAGCCCTTGTTCTGTGCCAGACTTAGGCTGAGGGCTCTGCTCTTACCTGCATGCGCTTAGGAGGGATGGTGCCTTTGATAAGATTTCCTTCAGCATCTAACACAGTGGGAAGCCTATGTGGCATTCTAACGCGAGTCTGTCGCCTCCAGGTCACCTATCGTGCTCTCTTTGGCAACACAATCATGAAATACTGAGCTGTCGGACAACCTTTTTAAAAAAAGAAAACCTCTTTTTGATCTTAATTACATGTTTAGAGTTGCTTCTCTAGCTAGGGAGAAATGAATTCCATTTTAAGTGTTTCTAATATATTTGGAGTAGCAAATGGCTAATTTTGGAAATATTTATTTTTTTTCGGAAATACTAATTTTTTTATTTCAGCATTGAATAAATAAAATAGAAATACCAGGCGTAGCACCTAATGTGAAAAGATGCTGATGTGAGAGGGAGGGGCCACATCCAGATGCCATACCCACGGGGCAAGTGTCACTCGGGCCTTTTTAGGGCAGTGCCACAGTGATCAATTTTGAATTCTCCATCCTCTGCTGGAATGAATGACTTTAAAAGTGACAGCCCAACTCATGCAGGCCAAAGACTGAGTCACCCTTCTAAAGGACGCTTCGTGATGGTGTGCCTATTCCAGAGCTTTTTACCAAGAGCTTTAGATTAAAAGGGTTATCTGAGACACCCCAAACTGGATGTCATATGCAAATTAAGTTTTCATTTTCCCACTCTCACCCCCAAATTCTAGACCCTCAGGGTTGCCACCCTTAGGCATCCAGCACCCAGGCAGCAATTTTAAGATGACTGAATTTCAAATGGAATTCTGTGACATTTGTTCCCAAAGGCAGCATTTTCCAGTTTAAACCTTGTAAAAGTCATGGAAGTCAGTTCTCCCTGCTCTGGGGGCAGAACCCATAATCTTTGTCAGGTGTACTTGCCTTCAGCTCCTGGGCCCATGAACTTCTCTGAGATGCTGCTTTTCATTTGGGAAACCAAAGCAGTACCTGCCTCCAGGGCCTTTGTGAGGCCACAACAGGAGTGCACATGTCACCTGCTGTACCCAGCCCTCCAGCTGCTCCGCAGTGACCTTCGCTGGCCACCCCCACGGCCTGAGTGTTCAGCTGACCCTGGCCCTGCAGATTTGTGATCATGCTATCCTGTTCCCTGTGTTTCTTTACCAATAAAGAAAAGAGCAACATTTATCCCTGTCTCCCAAAGGAAGTGTCGTGAGATGCCAGAATAACCCAGGATAGCATTGTTGCCCCTGCACTTATGGGGAAAGCGGCATTTTAATTGCAAAGCCAGATAAGCCAGTGCTATTAATAGAATTTATAGTCCCTGAACTTCTGAAAAGACACACACGGTGCTCAGTCTCCCCACGGAGAAGGCCAGGCTTGGGGGTAATTGCAGAGTAAGAGAAACCTTTGCCAGCATCCTTAGGAGCTTCCAGGTATTGTATGCAACCCCGCTGATCGCACAGCTGGCTTTGTCCAGCCCCTTCAGGAGGCAGGCCCAGGACAGGAGGGCCCAGGCTGAAGCTGCCACATGAAGGCACACACTCTTTACGTCTGATAAGCTCATTCTTCCCTCAAACACTGTTAGCTCACGTACTGTTTTTCATGTCCCGGGACAGACAGACCTCTGCTTTCTTCCTCTTCAAAAAGGAGGGTGCAGATCAGAGAAGAAAGTGCCTTCCCTCCCAAAGAAACTCTATTGAATTCAGCTCCCTAGGATGTTACAGAGAAAGCCAACAGCTGATACATGTTAAGACCTATGTCCCTGGGGGTGTGATACTAAGGATGGGAGGTGTCACGTCAGAGACCAGGTCTCTGGACACCAGGCTTCACATGGGCTGGACATACATCAGCACAGATGCGGGCGAGGAGAAGAGCTCAGGACTGAGCCATAAAGCCAGCTCTCAGTTCCTCAGGGCCAGAGGGGTACAGTGAGGGGTGAGGCCCCAGACTCCATGCACAGATTGGCTGCTCTCTGCTCCCAGCAATGAACAAGCTACCTTTTCCCACAATGCCTGCTCTACTCAGGCATGGGCCTCCCTTTTCTCTTTCTGAAGGAATCAGCTTCTTCCCAGGCTTTAGAACATCAAGCCATCTTTAAGGTTGGATTTATCATTTGCAGCCAGCAGGCTGCAGCACCACTTCCCCATGTAACGTTGCCTGGCTGCGCAGATTGTTGGGTCTCCCCAGCATTTTGCTGAAAACCTCATTTACAGGCTTCAAACACTTGGCATCCCCCACCTCCTACTATCAGGGGATGACAGAGGCAGTTACAAAGACTTGGTATATTTAATGCAACCTTGAGTATCTAAATAGATTTTCACCAAATTGAGTCATGAGTAATGCCTTCTGACAGCTTGGAGCCTTGAAAAAAGCACACATATAAAACTGCGTGTGCAGACTGTGGTCTCTAAACACCAGTGGGGGCGGAAAGCTGGCCACCGTGTCGGCGCTGTGCTCTGGGGCCTGGGCAGTGCAGAGGCACAGCCCAAACCATGCAGCCAGGTTTCTCAGACAAGTTAAGTAAGAGCACAGAAGACAGGAAGTAAAGAATGTTCTGAGTAGGTGAGAGAAGGGGGAGACCCTACAGCTGTAAGACAAAATGTAAGAATTTCCCCTAAGAGGCTGAGGGCCAAGCAAAAGGCACTAATGACCAGGTGGAAGTCAAGGCAGACCCCCCGCCCAGGCTGGAGGTACTGGAGCACATGGGAGCGGTGACAGTGGCTCCCGGCTTAGTCACAAGGCCGCTGGTCTGGAGGACCACCACGTATGCTCAGACGGGCCCAGGGAAGGGCTGATGGGTGCTGCCGACCGTGTCTCCTCTCAGCACCGCTAGAGCCCACACAGTCAGCTGAAGGGCTCAGAAGGCCAGGGCAGCAGTCCTGTGCAGCCCGCTGCCAGCTCCGTGGCCTGTGTGATGAAGGGCAAGGGACGGGCCTTGGAGTCCGGGGTTTGTGTTCTAATGCCACCGCCTCCTGTCTCTTTCCTCAACCAAAAAAGTATGGGAGAAAATACTCCCTGTGTGTTTCTCATGGGCTCTTTGGGTGGAGCTGCCCATGCCCTGCACTGTATCCCCGGTGACAATGGCCCTGGCGGGAGCTTGCCATCACCTCCACAGCTGCACACTTTAGATGTGTCCCAGCTTCTCTGTGCCTTATTCTGTCTGTCACAAATCTATCCAAAATTCTTTTTGATGCTTTTATGTCCCCTGCCCACAGCACTTCTCCAGGACTGTGAGTTCCTTAAGCTTTATTCTGTACTGTGAGCATAGTTTGTGCTGCATTTCCAGAGGCTAAGAAACTGTGGCTTGACAGAAAATCCATAAATAACTGGCCCTGATAGGATGAAGGTCATTCTGTGAGGAAATGCCAGCCTGTGTGTGAACGTCCACAGCCCATCAGATGCTTCTGTCTTGCCTAAGCCAAACCCAGGACTGTCAGCTAAAAAGCCAGCTACTCTGAACTGCATTCCTGAAGGAAACCCTCAGCCCCCCGCAGTGCTTCCCTTCCCTCCTTCCCTCCTTCCCTCTTAGCCTTCTTCCTCTCAGAGGCCTCACGGGAAGTGCCACGTTCAGGCTCATGTATCCAGAAAGCTTGTCGATCTTTGCCATCCTTTGGAAATTCATGCCTACATGCATTCAATAAACTTGTCCTGAGTGGGGTGTGTAGACACAAAGGTGAGTAAAACCTGGTCCCCACGCTGAGGATCTCACAGTCCAGGTTGGAGGGAGACTATTTATAAGACAACAGGATAGTGGCAGTATTGCCATGTGGGTATTATGGCAGACCCAAAGCAAATGGGCTTAGAGAAGGCTTCCAGGCAGAGGGTGCCTAAGCTGGCTCACAAGGGATAGGTAAGAGTTGACAAAGCTGGGAGGCAGGTGGGCGAGGCGAAATAGGTGGCGTAAGATGTGAAGGCAAGCTGCAGTGGTGTGCGTGTGTGTGTGTGTGTGTGTGCATGTGTGCGCATAGATGGGTGGGAAGCAGGGAGGTAGAAAACAAGTCACTCTGTTGCTGGAACTTAAATGAAGAGAAAGAAGTGGCGGAAGTGTGGCCGGAGAAGCACAGTCCAGACCCTGCAGACAGCGGGGAATCCAAGCAGGAAGGAAGGGTGGCTGTCAGGCCGGCAGTGTCCACATCACTGGCCCCGAGTGGAGGACAGGATGCAGGAGACAGACGGGAGGTGAGCAGTGGGGACCCTGGGGGAAGGCTGTGGGGGTGGTCCGGGTGGGACAAGAGAATGGCCAGACCCAAGGCAATGGTAGCTGAGATTTTTAAAAACTTCTTTTTTAAGGACAGATTTGAGAAATATTTAGAAACAAAATTGGTAGGACTTAGTTATTGACCATCTGCAGATAGTAAAGAAGCCAGAGAAGACCCCAGGTTTCTATGTGTTTGAATAGGTAGGTAATGAGATTAAATGAGGAAATGATGGCTGGAGGACGAACCCTAAGAAAAGAGCCGGCTCCTGTTAAGTTCTTCATATGTACCAGGCACAGTTCTCAGCACTGAACAGTATTCCGTTTGTCCCTCTTTCATGGCTGAAGGAACCTGAAATTCAAGGAAGTCCATTTCTTGTTAATCAGTACCGTTCGCTGAACCCGCACAGAGGCACAGCTCTTCCTGCCCACTGGCCCCAGTTGGACCCTGGAATGGATGGCTGGGTTTGCAGTGTGCCTCGACCTGAGCAGAGGAGACCCCATGGCATGTGCTTCCCCAACCTAGTACCCTGTGAGTTTGATGATAGCAGAACAGGGTCACCAGTGGGAATGGGGGAGCTGGGGTCCCAGGGCCTGGTCCTGACATTGCAGGCATGTGCAGCCCTGCTGTGGGCCTGGGTACCAGCCCCCTCATGGTCTGTGGCTCTCAGCAGTCTCTCCTGAAGCCTCCCCACCTCATTGAGCAGAGGGGCTGTGTCTCCACCAGTTTCCCAGGCAGGCGCCTCTGACGCCCGGGGAGGCCCTGCAGGGCCCCTACCTCAGGAGAGACTGAGGGACATGCCACCACCTGGCACTGGGACCTGCAGAGACACCTGGCTTTGTGGATTGAAATGGAGTATTGAGGGAAGGACTGGTAGCCGGGGGCTGCTCCCTGCACCCCCCCACTGCCAAGGCCTGGCTGCCAACAGTGTGTGAATGCCAAAAGTCCGGGCACGCAGAGGACAGAGCAAGGCCTGGAAGGTCCGGGTTCTAGCTCCTACTTTGCTACTAACCTGCTAGAGAATTCTTCCCCCTCTGATGTCAGCTTCTCTATTTATAAAAGAAGCTGGTTGGACTTGATGACCAAAGTACTGCCTCCCATTTGAGGAGCTCTCTGCAGCTGAAGACTCGGCAGCCCTGTGACTCAGGTGCTCCTGTGCCATTTCATGCCTGAGGTCCTCGGCTGGCTGGTAGTCAAGTGGTGCCCGCCTCTGACAGGGCAGGTTTCGGAGTACCTTCTCTGACTCAGATGCTGGGCTACCGTCCTTTACTCCATCACGCCCCACTCTGGTGAGGGAAAGAAAAAAACGATTATGTCCATCGCAGGACTTCGGCTGAAGCCTGCAGGACCTTTTGGAGCATTTGGCAGGGTCCTTGCAGTTCTAAAGGCCAAGGCCTCAGCACACTGAAGTCCCCTTCCTTCTTCAGTGCTGACCAGTTGTCATCCCCAAGGTGACCATGCGATCTAGCACCCAGCCTGGGACACTTCTGAGCATGAACTATTAATAATTACACCAGAATAGGCATAAGCGTGGACCATCCTGGGCAAACAGGGACAGTGAACATAGGTGTCACCACATGTATGCAGCCAGACATCCCCCCATGCAGCTGTGGCATCAGCCCTGGTCTTAGACTGAGCCCAAGGGAAGCCAGACTGCAGACAGGCAGCCATCCCCCATGTCAGGAGGCAGAGCCCTGGGCCTAGCTGTGCTCTGTGTGACCAAAGGCTGGCCACGCAAGGGTGCTGAGCCACGGCTTCCCCTGTCACTGCAGGGCTGAGCCCACCGCTTCCTTCAAGCCTCTGCCTCCAGTTCTCATGCTCCTTCTGGGTCCTTCTTTTGTGATCAAGATGGTAGTTCAGAGGTCACAGCCAACAGTGCCCACTGGTCTTGGGTGTAAAATGGCCACACTTTCTCTGCTTCTGTCCCTCCTTGCTCAGATTGGGGCTGCTCTGAAGCCTGGTGGGATGGCTTTGCAGTCCCATTTTGGCTCTGCCATTCACTAGATGTGAGTGTGGGCCAGTGAGGTACCTTTTCCAAGCCCCCCTTAGGGACCAGTGCTTTTCCTCCACAAACAGATCACTCTGTGGTCCTGGGCCAGCCACAGCAGCCCCTGCCTGCTTCTCTCAGTGCCCATTGGTGCTCTACTGGAGACCACTCTGTGACTGGCCAGAGCACACACTGATTATAAGCGTGAGCAGCAGAGGGGTCTTGTGAGATTGCAGTCCAGGCCTTCCATTTTCCTGCTGAAGACACAGGCCCAGATAGGCATTCTGACCTGCCCAGGGATAGGTAGCTAGCTCAGGGCGGAGCAGGACCCCAGCCGTGGCCGACCTCAGAGGCCCCTCTCCCTGCACGGCACCTTCCTGCTGGGATGCAGGCATTCATCAACCTTTAGAAGTCTGTGTTTATTTATAAATCTGCTGCCTCTCCTTCCAGCTTCTGAAAGCATTTTACAGGCATTAATTAAGGAAGGTTCATAGCAAACCCAGGAGGGAAGGAAGGAGGAGTTGGGGGGTTCTTTAAAGGGCCAGTCCTCCTGCTGCCTGCCTCTCCATTTCTTCCTTAACCTAGTCTCTCCAGAACATACACACATACGCACATGTGGTCACACATATACACTTACATGCATACATACATACATGCACACACACACACACACACACACACACACACACCAGCCATTTCCAGCAGCCTCTGGCACCTCATGACAAACCTGTGCTAATTCCACCCCTGATCACATCTCCGCTGCCTCCCTGAGCCTCATCCCCTGTGTGTGACCCCAGCAGCAGCATCCAGTGGACGCCCTGCAGTCAGGATCACGTCACCTCACACAACCTCACCCACACACTCCTCTCCCAGAAACCCACTCCTGAACGTTCTGCACGCTTCAGCTCAAGTCATCTCTCACACTGTGAGAAACACTCCACTCCCCCCGCTATGCAGGCAGCAGGGGCCGGGAAGGAAGGCCACACCCCAGGGGCACTGCGGCAAAACTCCACAGCGGGGGTGCGCAGATGCTTCCTTCCCACAGCTCCGGGGCTCATGAGTCCCAGGTCAAGGTGTCAGCGGGGTGGCTTCCTTCTGGGGGCCTCTCGCTCACCCTGGCTGGCAGACTCATGGCCCCGCTCCAGCCTCTGCGTCCACATGGTGCTCTCCCTGTGTGCTGTCTGTGTCCAGGTTTCCCACCCTAAGCCAGGATGACCTCAGTTTAACTGATTACATCTGCATGACCCTAATTTCAAAAAGGTCACATTCTGAGGTACTGGGGTTGGGACTTCAGCATAGGAATTTGAGGATGACACAGCTAACCATGTTACTGAGATCCCATAAATCCAGCGTCCCTCCCAGACTGATTGGTGTCTGTTACTGGTGGGCTGAGTGGCTCACATGAGAAATGTTCCCATTCCAACACCAAGATAATGGCCCACAGGCGGCTGTACCTCAACTCCGCCATTCCTCACTGCCCCTGCGTGTCAGGTCCGCCTGGGGCATCACTCACTCCCTAAAACAGTCCTGAAACCTGAGAAGAGGTCGTCTGTGCCAGGGGACAGGCCCTGCTGCGCACCCTGCAGGCACCACAGCCCCTGCGAGGATCAGGAAACAACCGTCCACCCTCCCTCCCCCATTCTATCAGACCTGGAGTTTTAGGGTGTCCTTTGGGGAGGTGGGCCCAGTCCCAGGCCAGGAAGGGAATCCAGTCAGTTTAAGCTACTCATGCAGTCCTTGACTCCTTCAGCCACAAGCATAGATTGCAGTCTGGCTGTTGAAAAATGAAAGTCTGCTGGATAATTTCTGCAGCAAGCATCCCTCATGGGTTTGAGAGGTACAGGCAAAATCAGTTCTTCTTCAAGATATTGTCACGTCTGACCGCAGTGCCTGAAACAATGGCAGCCGTCTTGTGACCATGAGGGCACCTAGCTTGAGAACCTTCCAAAGTACTGAAGATGACAGCCAAGAAAGATGGAAGGAGCTTGGATCTTTGGCGGTATCATTGAGCTGCTGCATTAACCAGTCCTGGAACCATCTAGATTTCTTATGTGAGATACTAACCTGTCATTATTTAAGCCAGTTGAGTAAGGGTTTCTGTTACTTTCAGCCAAAAGCACCGATACCACCCCATTCCCATCCCTCAGCATGCTCATGGCACTCCTCTGGTAGCTCCCTGCCGATGGGGCCTTTACTCTCAGGCCCTAGTGAACCAACCACCAGCTCTTCAGGACCTTCCTGGGCTTCCCTCGGGCAATCTGCATCACGAGGGCCTAGAGCAGTCTCTGTAGAGCAGAGGGCGAGGACCCGGGGGAAGCGGGCAGCTCAGCCTCTGGGTCCTACACTCATGTCCTGGGGTGGGGTTTCCTTGGGTGTCTACCTCCTCAGCAGCCTGTGAGCTTCCCAGGGCCAGAAAGCACCATCATCCTAGCGGCTCTGAGTCCGCAGGGCCCTGCAGAGTGCCGGTGCGTAGGAGGTGTGCAACAAAGGTTTGCTGAGTCTTGGTGAGACATGAAGAGAAATCAAGAAACAAGAGGAGAAGCGGGACAGGGCAGCCACGGGGAAGAGCCAAGTGAGCCGGGTTAGGGGTGAGCAGTGGGGCCAGAGGGCGGTGCAGGGAAGGGACACGCTGTTTGGCTTCTCCGTGGGAGCAGTGGGGCTGTGAAGGGAGATATCCAGGCTGGGAAACAGAAGGATGGAGACCTCGGAACCCAGAGGCAACGCCCATGGACAAGCAAGCCTGAGCGGCACCTGATGATCAGCAAGCCGCCCTCTGCTCTTCTCCTCCCTGCCTCGCCTCCTCCCTCTCCCTCCCTCTGGCTCTCTCTCTCTCTCTCTCTCTCTCTCTCTCTCTCTCTCTCTCTCTCGCTCATCTCCTGCTCTCAGGGAAATGAGGACCCGGCTTAGGCACAGGGGCAGGAACCTCCAGCGAGTGCGGCTCAGGCTGTGGTGCCCACACTGCCTTGGGACCTGTCAGAATGATGACTGTCTGGCCG